CTCCACCTTTGTAACCAGCTTGTCACAATCCAGATGCATCTGGTTGCCAGCGTGATGTAATGGTTAAGAGTGTGGGAATGGGACTCAGGTCATTTGTGTTCTAGTCCCAGCTCAGCCATGGGACTACTTGGCCAGTCACAGACATTCAGCCCAACCTACCTCAGAGGGTTGTTTTTGGGAGAGTAAGATTGAGAGGAGGAAAATTATATAAGCAGACTTGAATTCCTTGAAAGGAAAGGGGAAAAGGCAGGATATAAGTATAATAAATAGATATAAATATAATAAATAAATCTGGCTGTGCAATGTTGGAAAAAGGCTATACTGTGCGATAGGTATTTGTTATTTTTCCCAGAGAATGCAAGAACTTATCTTGCACAAGATAAAGGACATTTATTTATTTAGGGATGTATCTCCCATCCGTTAAAGATTTTCCCAGGGCAGCTTAGCAGTGCATTCATTTATAACTACAGGTGTGTGTGTAAATAATATATATAGGGAGAGGGAGAGAGAGAGAGCGCGCGGACGAGAGAGAGAGAGAGCAATATCCCTACGAAGCTGGTCAGTCTGCTTATGTGAGGACCAGAAATTGGGAGCCTAATTGGATGGGATAACAATCTAATAAATGAATGAATGCACATGGAAGCCCTGCCAGCAGTGTACCTTACTCCTGTCTGCTTTATCATTAACCTTCCTTTGTTGAGGGGAAAGGTCTGAAGTGATCCTTTTCTTTGGCTCATTTGTAGAAGCCTCCTTGCAATTAGGAACTGTGCTTTAATGGGGTTCCAAATTGTGTTTATGTTCCTGCTTAATGGTAAAGATGCATCCAGAGTTGCTGCTTGGTGCAGGAAAAATGAGGAAAAACTAGATAGGAATGTAATGAGGACGAGGCTTGCATGCATGCATATATCCCCTTCTCTTGGTTAGCAAGCATGAGCAAGTTGAATACCTGTGTACACAGGTTTGAAGACATGTACAACCTACACTGACAAAACCAATGCCTAGGAGAATAAAAAGGGTTTTCTGTGGTGTTAAAAAAATAAGATGTGGGCTCTAATATTAATTTCCTACTAAGAACATGTTATTGTTTCCCCAGACCAAAATGGTCTGGACAAACTTGAGATGAAAAATAAAATCAAGGAGACCCGATTTTAGAAAGAGGAAGTATAAGGGCAACTTCAATTACACATGGTTCATGGTTCATGGTTTTTGGTTTTTGCTTTTGTTTTGTTTTGTTTTTTTACCATGAGCTAACCAATAGATAATCAAGTGGTTTCCGCATAATTGTAGTTTGCGTCCTCCCTGATCAGGCCTCCCACTGTTGGAATGTATCCCATCAGCCACTGTCACTGAAATTCAATCCTAAGGTGTATTGCTTCTTGCCCATGTCTACTGCCTCTTCATTAGGTTGGATAGCTGGAGCAGCTTCTGCAATTGCTGCTTTTCCCATGGGATTCTGTGGTAGTTGCATATTAGGACAATGGAAACCATGATCCTGGGTTCAGACAATAGGACAAACCATGATGGTATGGAGAAGCCATAGAACAAACTGTTATTTCTGCTCATGGTTTCTAAAGACCAGAGTAATCATGATGAAATACCAGAGCTGGTTCAAACAGCAAGACAAACCAATAGTGGTAAAAACAGACAGACAGACAGATTGGGTTATCATGTTGTATGAACCTAGCCAGTAAGAGATGTAAAATAATATTTTGACGATTGTATTGCTAACAACATCAAGTCCAATAATCCAGAATTATTTAAATATATTGGAGGCAGGAAACTGGCTAGAGAGGCAGTTTGATTGTTGGATGACATTGAAGTTAATACTAAAAGAGAAAAATTATTGGGCCAGCAGGACAGATTAGGGGTTCTGTTGGTGTACTGTCAACACCACAACCCAACAGTCTCTCTGCTCGGGCTGACAGAGGTTATCTCAGCTGTGATGTTGAGGTCCCTCAGGCTGCTGGTTCTGGGGGATGTCAGCATCCATGCTGAGGGTGTACTGTCAGCTCAGGATATTATTATTATTATTATTATTATAATTATTATTATTATTATTATAACATTTCTATGCCACCCCTTGCCGAAGCCTCGGGGCAGCTTGCAACACAATACAATACAATACAATATAAAATAACAATATAAAATTAAAATTAATAATATAAAATAAATAAAAAATATAAACAATATAAAAGAAGTTATAAAAGTTATAAAAGAAAAGAAAAGAAGTCACCCTGGCCAGATAAATAAGTCAATATTGTTAACAATTAAAATGACGTTTAAATAAAAAGGTCTTCACCTGGCTCCGAAAAACAAATAACGATGATGCCAGGCGGACCTCTCTGGGGAGCACATTCCATAGATTGGGCGCCACCACAGAGAAAGCCCTCCTCCGAGTACCTACCCTCCTAATTTCTTTCACGGAGGGTTCCCGGAGATGGGCCTCTCCCGCAGATCTCAAGGGGCGGTCGGGCATATATGGACGTAAGCGCTCCTTCAGGTAACCAGGTCCCAAGCCGTTTAGGGCTTTATAGGTCATAACGAACACCTTGAATTGGGCCCGGACTTCAATAGGAAGCCAGTGAAGCTGTCGGAGGACTGGAGTCATGTGAGCATAACGCTCCGTCCCCGTCAGCAACCTGGCAGCTCTGTTTTGAACCAATTGAAGTATCCGGACCGTCTTCAAGGGAAGCCCCACATAAAGCGCGTTACAGAAGTCAAGGCGGGAAGTCACCAGTGCGTGTGTCACCGTCGCCAGGCAGTCGTTCTCCAGGTAGGGGCGCAGCTGATGGATCAGCCGAAGCTGAAAGAAAGCGCTGCTCGCCACCGCTGTCACCTGAGCTTCCAGTGAAAGCTCTGGGTCGAGGAGCACTCCCAAGCTGCGGACCTTGTCCCTAAAAGGGAGTGCAACCCCATTCAGAACTAGGTTCAATTCACCCTCACCGAAGCCCGATCCAACAACCAACAGGACCTCCATCTTGTCTGGATTGAGCTTCAGTTTATTGGCCCTCATCCAGCCCATTACCTCGGCCAGGCACCGGTTCAGCACAGCTGCTGCCTCACCTGGATTGGTGGAAAATGAGAGGTAGAGCTGGGTATCATCAGCGTACTGATGATTCCGCAGCCCACACCTCCTGACGACCTCTCCCAGCAGTTTCATGTAGAAGTTAAACAGCAAAGGGGACAAAATGGACCCCTGTGGTACTCCATAGCTGCCATGGCGCAGAGCCATAGTCCCCCAACACCACCTTCTGAAAACGGTCATTGAGATAGGAGCAGAACCACAGCAAAGCAGTGCCTCCGACCCCCAATCCCACTAGCCTATCCAGAAGGATACCATGGTCGATGGTATTGAAAGCCGCTGAGAGGTCCAGAAGAACCAACAGGGATGCACTCCCTCTGTCCTTCTCCCTGCACAGGTCATCGTACAGGGCGACCAAGGCAGATTCAGTACCGTACCCGGGTCTGAAGCCGGACTGAAATGGGTCCAGATAATCAGTTTCATCCAAGAGTGCTTGGAGTTGTCCTGCCACCACCCGATTTTATGAACTCCATTGCAACCATGGGGCTGTACCAACATGTTATTGGCCCAATACATGTAGTATGGCACAACTCTGTATTTGGTCTTTTTTGGCTGGGCAGGGAGATAGTGATTGGAAGGTGGAAGACTTTGAATTGTTTCCCTTGTCGTGGTCAGATCACTGCTTGGTGAGATTTACACTAACAATGACTTTCCCCTTCTGTAGGGATGGAAGATCCGTTAAGGTGGTCAACCCCCAGGTGTTGGTGGATTCATATGGTTTCCAGAGGGCTCTAGGGGATTTTCCAGCTGATATGGCTGGTGGTCCTGTCAAATCCCTGGTCTACCAAGTAGGAGAGGAACCACTGCAATGCAGTGCCACTCACACTCACTCAAGACAGTCAGTTCAGAAGGATATCATGGTCAACGGTATCAAAAGATGCTGAAAGGTCCAGGCGAACCAACAAGGTCACACTCCCAGTCTTTCTCTACCAGCATAGGTAGAGAGAGATGACCAAACAGGATGACCAAAGTAGCTTCCATGCCAAAACAGTCCTGAACCCTGACTGAAATGGATCCAGATAATCAGTCTGCCTGAAGCTCGTTGGCCACCACCTGCTCAAGAACTTTGCCCAGGAAGTGGATGTTTGCCATTAGCCTAAAATTGTTAAGTTCTTCTGGGTACTCACGTGACCAAGGACCACTCCTACTGGTACTTGGAGGATATTTCTCTGCCCCTCATATCCTCTAATATCTTGTCCCCCATGTTATTTAACACCTTTATGAAACCACTGAGTGAAATCTCCAGAGTTTTGGAGTGCACTGTCATCCTGAGTGCCTTTGCACATGTTAGCTGGAGTGATACAGGACATGCTGGGGGAAGTGAGGCCACCACAATCATGCCTGTGCCGTTACTGGGGTCCAGTCACCAAAACAGCCAGATAGGAGGTTTCAGTAGGTTCAGATGAAGCCCAAGATTGTGCAAAATAAAAGATTAATCCTAACATAGGGACCCTGTCCATGGCTCCTAGGATCTATGAGATGTTGAAGATCACTAGCAAAGAAAAATAGAAAATTGGTTTGCGGAAGGAAGTTTTATAGATCTAAATTGTGTTTGGGTATGCAGGTCATGGCATATGATTCATGCTATGGTGCATGATATGTAATTGGTTTTGTTTCCTGAACCACCATTTTATACCCATCTCCTGTTGGTAATCTAGGGGTCTAATAAAAACAAAAAATAAAGCGAGTCAAACATCCCCGAAGTATGCCCTTGTCTGCCCTGTGGTATGTATTGCAAGGGAAGATCAGTAGTGGTGGACACAGTTTTTTTAAGAATGTGGATTTCCTTTACTTTTGTTTGCAGAACCCCTGACTGTCAGTAGAAGTGCAGTTCAGAAGCAGTTCATATTCATACACACACACACAAAGGAATAAGCAGCATGTTTCAAGTATTTTTTTATATTTGTATTTTTCTTAGGAGCTGGTGAATCAGGAAAAAGCACAATTGTTAAACAAATGAAGTAAGTACGTTTTAAGTATCCTAACATAAAGTTGACGTTAGTGAGAAGCTCAATGAAATGAAAATCTGTTTTTTTCCTCCTCCTCATCTAGGATTATCCATGAAGCTGGTTATTCAGAAGAAGAATGTAAACAGTACAAAGCTGTTGTCTACAGTAATACAATTCAGTCTATTATTGCTATCATTAGAGCAATGGGGAGGTTGAAGATAGATTTTGGGGATTCCATCAGGGCTGTAAGTATTGATATAATTCCTTACTTTAGTCTGAAATGTTGTTCTGAAGTCCACTTGCAAGACTTCAGACTTAGAACCTTTGTTATTACAGATACAATGTCCTCAACTTTCCACCCAATTTCTGGTTGGGCAGTAAGGAAGTACTTTGCAAAATAGGACTTTTGGATAGTTTCCCTATCTGAAATCCTGGAATGGATGAAAAAGTTAAATAAATGAATATAAGACCTGCAGTTCAGTTCAAGATAGGGAAAATTTAAATACTACAGGAAACTTGTCTGCCCTACTGCTATAAGCCCGGCTTTAAAAGATAGCCCAGAAATGGTTGTGCAGTGTTTCAAAAACAATAAAAAAATTAAGTCTCATAAAACACTATAAATATTGAATGCCAAAAAGCTTGTACTATGTCTTTCATATGAATTGATAAGTTGTTCTTATATAAACATGCCAGTGCCCCATTTATACATTATTTTCTTTCTGAGATCTTGAAATGAAAAGTATATGAATCTTGAAAGGCATGCAGCTTTGTTTCTGTCAGTGCAAGGAGAAGTTAACAATTGATCAAAAAATAACTGCAGAAGAAGGAAACAAGCTCTCCATTGCTCTTAGGCAATCACTTAGAGAGTTTATAATCCTTGCAAATTTTGTGTGGATTTGTTTATTTATATACTGTTTGTATATTGTTTCATGCCTAAGCATGTTCTAGAGAGGTAAACAGTACAAAGCTAACACAAATTTAAAACACATTAAAAACAATACACTAAAACCTGTCATAGTGATAAGTGGGAGATGAGAGGCAAAGGGTCACTTCTAGTCTCCCGTTTGGCTCAGAATAGGTAGGAGTGGGTAACTTTGGATAACTATGAGGGCCGTTTTTACCCCATGCCCCTTGTGTTTCCCCATGGGTGCTGAAAATGGGAGATTTTTTAAAAAAACTAAATGTCATCTGTGGCTGCTATGGATTGCAAATATGATCATTTATTAATTTTAACTCTTTTGGTGCTAATACTACATCAGCAGGCATTGTTTTGAGTTTTGAAAAAAAGAATCTTCCATTTTCAAGTACTATTTGAGGAGTGTCTCCTTGAATTTTAGGAATTGGCAAGGTTGCACTGACTGGGTATGGGGACCACATGTGTTATCCAGACTTCATGTTGCTCACTCCTGGCCTAAAGATCTGTTGGAATGAACCATTTTGGAATGCGTCTCCCCCCAGAACCTGCCAACTTCCTCTCATGCTTGGCTTGGTCCTACAAGGTGAACCAAGCCAAAAGGAAATCTGAATGCTTGTGGATGCCCTGTTGTACAGCTAGCAACTTTGCTTCTCAGGAGTGGCTGTGGGGCGTAAGAGACAGGAACTGTGAATGGCCATGCCAGCTCCCATCCTGGTGACCAAACTTCTTCCCTGCTCACTGTTGTAGGTGGGGTGGCAACAACAGAAAAGGGATGCAGCAAGCAGGCATACTGGCTGCCATTCTTGGCAACCAGCTTTCTTCCCCATTCACTGTTGCCAGTGGCAGTGATGGGCACAGAAGAATAGCACTGTTTGTGCATCTCATAGTGCTTGATTCCTGGAGAGTGCACCTTAATGCTGGGCACACTTGCAGGACACTCAGACTCTGAGGTGCTGTAAAGTGGACCAGAATCCAAAGCCAAAACCAGGGAATCCAATGGTTTTTCTGCTTATGGTTTCCAAAATGGTTTCTTTGCTTATACCTAGCCTAAAGCAAAGGGATATTATTGGAACAGGGTAATGACTAAGCAAAAAAACAATCTTCAAAAATCTGTGCTAAATACATATACTGTCCACATATGCATGGGCATCTCTTGAGGAACAGTTCTACTGACTTAACTATTCCTATGCAGCAGGGGTCTCCAGCCTTTTGGGGTACATTTGGATACTTGAGCCATTTATTGGAGCATAACTACAAAATTCATAGATGGCCACTTTAGTGTCTACCTATCATCTCTATGGATGCCTCTTATTCAGCAACTGTTTCTTTTCCTTTTTAACAGGATGATGCTCGTCAACTCTTTGTTCTAGCTGGAGCAGCAGAGGAGGGCTTCATGACAGCAGAACTTGCAGGAGTTATCAAGAGATTATGGAAAGACAGTGGTGTTCAAGCTTGTTTCAATAGATCTAGAGAGTATCAGCTTAATGACTCAGCAGCATAGTAAGCATAAAACAAGAATTATGCATCTGCCACTAGAGATTTTTGAAAGTACACTTGTCAAATCCATCTTACAGCAACTGCAAAATGCAAAAGAAGAAACACTTGAATTCATTTATTAGAGGATTGTTGAAAGAAACATTGCAATGGGCACATGCTTTCAGAAGTTCGGTTTCCTCCCTTCACAAATTCAAAGCCACATACCTTTCTTGAAAAAGTTTCTTTTTCAGAAACACAATGTGAATTTTTCAGCATTTTTCAGCAGCAATTTTCAGAAGCATCCAGAATGAATCTCTGCGCATGCACAGAGCGGTTTGATGAACCCAATCTAGTATTTACTTCTTGGAACTCTCCTTATGAGAATGTCTGGACCCTATCCTTTTGGGAGGGACCTTTGGGAATGAGCATGCCTCCTCTCTGCACCTTGATCCTCTAATTGGGCTGCCCTCCTCTGCCAGCGTTGCCTCATGGGGTCAAGAGCAATATCCGCCTTGTCGGTCTCTGAGAACCTCCCCTCTTCCAAGCCCAATAGCTGTGCATCTTGGTTATTCTCAGAGACTGCCTAATAACCAGGGGAGTCTGGCCTTGGGATAAGTGCCTCCGTTTCTCTCATTTCAACATCTGGAATTGCCCATGTTCCAAGGACTCCCCCTGCCCCTCTACCACCTCTGATCAGCATGCCCTCAGAATGCATGCCAAGAGCAACTGTTCTTTTTTCCAACACATTAAAATGTCTGTCAATTTGATTTTTCTAGTTAAAATGGGCAGAATGATCCTGTGACCCACAAGACAATATCTGGGGCGGGGGCAGTGTCCACAGGATTCTTCAGATTTTCAGATCCAAGATCACAAATGGAACTCAAATCTTGGGGCTGCAGTTCCTCACTCAGCTCTCCCTCCATGTCCCTCTTAGTTCAGAAAGAACCACACCAGCTGCTTTTTGAGGTTGGAGGGTAAAGGGATATAAATCTTTCTGTATGCATGCACACACTATTTAGGTATATATGTTAAGACAGCAAAATTCTGAAGCTCCCATAGCTTCAGTGAGATAAATTTGCTTCATAAAATGGTATAACCCAGATAGTGGGATCAAATTTACCCAGAGAAAAGCAGGTGAGTATCAAGACTTCCTGTAGTCCCCAATTTTAATGATAACTATTCTGTGGTATTCCATGCCCCGCCCCTACATGTAGTTTTTTAAACTATAGTGTATATATACGGACAGTTTTGAAGTCACTTTTACCACAGTAGGGAAGTAAAAGTACTACTCATCAATAGTCCTGGAGACCCAATGATTTATGAAATATAGTCAAAATTATTTATTGTTTGTGTCCTTAGATGCTTAGTTATTCTTTCCATTTGTGAGAAAGGGGCTTATAGGGTGAAATATACAACTCTGTTTAGTTCTAATCTAGTTTTTATGTGTTAAAAAGGCTTGTGGGGAGTCAATAATGTTGGGATTTAAGAAAAAAAACTTTTATGACCTTGAATTACAGTACATATCTTTAGCAGTTAGAATCTGCCTTCTGTGAAGCCATTTTTATTTTTGAAAGGTGGCAGACCTATTTGCTGAATTTGTGTTGAATAATACTTACCAGTCAGATAAATGTATCAGATTAACCTCCTCGTTTGTTGACATACCCTTTGCAAAACCTTCACAGATCAAAGCAGATGACAAGACTTGCTCAGTTGATTGTTTCCAAAGGCAAAATTGTGTCCAACACTAAATGAATCTTTAGCAGCTATATCTTGTATATGATTTTTTTCAGAATCACAGTGTATGGAGAAGAGTGGTCTAATACTTTATTTCTGTAATACATTGTTTACTGTCCCTCTACCTGCAGCTGCCCTTATCCTGAAAGGAAAACTCCCATTCAGAGTGGGCTATAAGAAGCCAGTTCTGAAACGCAGAAATTCTGGAGTGAGCTCTCAGGAAGGAAAGAAACAACCTATGAGATGCAATGTGTTCTTAGAAGGAATTCTTGTACCCAGAGTTTTGGGTCCTTTAAACACTAAAGGATTAAATATTATCCGTAGAGCATCCACATCCTTGAAATATTGTGCACTATCAATATTTATAACAAAACTTCTAATTTGGAAGGGGGCATCAACTTTCTTACAGTTTCACAAAAAAATTTTCTTTCTCTATGATAAATGTACATAAGGAAAATCATTTATAGTTCTAAGTAGTCTGAAATCTTGCTGACTCTTTTAGGTTGAAATCAAAGATAAGAGGAAGAAGTTTCTCCCACACTATGAAGCAAAATATTTTGTTTCACTTAAAGATATTAAAAATAGATTAATGGAATAGAAAAGATTGGAAAGATGTAACAAAACAATTACTGAAATACATCCTTCATCTGTGAATCTTTTCTGTTGAAACAGACTAATAATAACTGAATTAATCAACAGAGTGCTGATGAAAATTCATCTGCTACTAGAAACCCCTTTAGTATGTTCTCTTCCTTTTTATCTTTTATTGGAGGTATGTTAAATAGTAAGTGGTATTGCTGCTGAATACTTCCATCCATATTTTCCCAAAATCTGAACAAGCATTGTATATATAATTCTGCTCTCCAGAGAGGTCTGCCTAGCGCCGTCGTTATTTGCTTTTCGGCACCAGGTCAAGACCTTTTTATTTAAACATCATTTTAATTGTTGATTTTATTTATTGATTTTAATAACTTTAGCCAGGATGTCTCCAACTGTATTTTATTGTATTACTGATATTTATTTATTTGTAAGCCGTCCCGAGGCTTAGGTGAAGGGGGCGGCATATAAGTCTGCTAAATAAATAAATAAAATAATTCTATAAATCAAAGTTGAATTCTGAGTTCACCACATTCTAAACATTACATATGATTGAGATAAATAGTATCAATATTTTGCTATTAAATTATAATGGAAGCGAAAAAGAGGGAGGAAATACATATTTATTAAAATATTTACGTATAATAAAATTACAAAGAACTTATATAAGATCTTCAGAAGTATTTTATCCCAAAAAAACCCCCTATGAATTAATGAACAACTTGCTATTACCTGAAGGGACCAGATGATATGGCACATAACTGTTTGAAATGGCCTGCATTTTTTTTCTTTTCTACCTTAAAATTATATTACTGTGGCATAATTTTGTCTTTTAGTGAAGTTGCTATTTATTTTCAAAATTACGTAAACTAAAGGTATAATACTCCACCTGCTTTTTAAAATTTTGTGTAATATTTTATGTTTCCAGCTACTTGAATGACTTGGACAGGATAGCCCATGCTAGTTATATCCCAACACAGCAGGATGTCCTCAGGACTAGAGTGAAAACTACAGGAATAGTAGAAACGCATTTTACTTTCAAAGATCTCCATTTTAAGTGAGTAACCACATGAAATCTGAAATCCTTTTTGTGTGCATATTTATTATAAATTTGTTAATAGCTTTCAGTGTAAGATTAATAAATGTAACATGAAGAGATTTCAAGTGCAGAGCTTTTCCTTGTCTCCACTGGCAAGGGATACAGTCTAACCTGAGATACATTAATAAGTGATAAGATACTAATTCTCCCCAATGATCTTGATAAAGAGAGTATATATTTGACTTTGCATGTAATAACAGAGGCAAGGATTGCTTATGCGCAATGTTGGAGATATGAAGAGCTACCGGCTGAAGATTTGATCTTGAACAAGATACTGGACTGTGCGGAATTGGATAGACTGTGTTTATCTCTTAAGAAAAAAGAAGATATAGTTTACTACCAAACATGGGACTTTTTCTATCAATGACTACAGAATCGGGACTCTAATATGGGATGAAATACATAGCATTTGTAGGGAAAAATAAGACTTTGTACACAGTATGTTTGAAGTCTTCGAAACAATTACTTGTTTATTGAGTAGAAAACAACACTCTGGAAAAAAAATAAGTGATGAGATACTTGACACTTTCCCAAATTTACAGTAATATATCCCATTGATAATTCCCTTGTGTCATCACTGGATGCTACTGAAAGCATGAGGGAAATTCTTGCAGTCTAAGAGTACATCTCAGCTGAGTTTTAGTGACTTTTGGCCTTACAGTTCCTGCCAGCTTAGCAGTTTGAAAGCACGTAAATGCAGTAGATAAACAGGTACCACCTCAGTGGGAAGGTAACAGCTTTCCGTGAGCTTCAACATTTAGTTATGCTGGTCACATGACCACAGAAACTGCGGACAAATGCTTCCTTTGCTAAGAAATGGAGATGAGCAGTGCCTCCTAAAGTTGGACATGACTGGAGTTAATGTCATGGGGAAACATCTACCTTTTTACCTTAAACAGGCAAACAGACAAAAAGTGCCCCCAGGAAAGTTAAATGTATAATCTTTTAGTCCCAATTTAAACTACGTTCATTACTTTCATCACATTTTCATAATTCTTCCTATCACATGGTGTGTAAAAGAATACCACCATTTTGGGGTGTTTTATTAGATTTAGCTTATCCTATAATCTCTTACCAGTAATTTTTGCATCTTTATCCTTTGTCGTAATTCTTTACAAATCCATTGTGGGCAAATGCTTCCAACATTTGCTCATCTGTAACTTTATATACTATTTTTAATTCAAGCCCTTTATTAGACCAGCTAAATAGGCAGAACAAGGTGGAAGCTTCCCAGATTTCTTCGCCAGGTAAGATGTTACAAAGGATACAGGAGAAGTCATCCAGTTTGAGTGGTCAGAGTCTTAAGATGAAATGTGTGAAGCTGTTGCAGACATTCAAACTAAACTCTTCCAAGGGATGTGATGGTTTCAGGTTGCATCTGGGATTCCTGATACAACTGCTGGAATGAAGAAACGGATATGATCTCCCTTTCTGCACTACATAATCCATTTGAATGTCATATCCCATAATCTTTTACATACTTACAATATTCCCCCAGTAATTTGAATATAGTGATACTTTAGCTCACGAACTTCATCGTTCCAGGACTCTGGTCGTGACCCAAATTGGTCATGAGCCAAGTTAAATTTCCCCATAAGGTTCAGTGTAAATAAGGTTAATTCGTTCTGTAACCATTTTTTTTTAAATCAGAAAATTGTGAAACAAAGTGGCAGAACAACAAAGATCGTGGCCACCCCGAGCACAAGCGCGGCCATCTCCCCACCCCCCTCCCAGCATGAGATTGCGCCTGTCATCCCTGCACGCGCCCGTCATCCCGGCGCATGGGATGGGGGAGACAGGCACGATTGTGGGCACACTGGGGGAAAGACGGGTGCAAGTGGGGTATGCTGGAGGAGGGAGAGATGGGTGCGATCACAGGTGGGGAGGGGGCCACTCCCCGAGTGGGGAGATGGCCACGATCATGCTGGTTGGGGAGGGGGGAGATGTCCAAGATTGCACCCCATCTTTCCTGCAGGAGCACGCCCGTGATCATGCACGTCTTCCCTGCACGAACACAACTGCGATCATGGCCATCTCCCTACTCGCGGGGGTGGGGAGATGGTTGAGATCTTGGTCGCCACCCAATGTGGACTTCACGACCCATGTCAAAATTTTCATGAAATTTTTGTTCGCGACCCAATTTGGTTGTGAACCAAGGCATTCATGAGCCGAGGTAACATTGTACTTCTACATCCCTACCAAATAGCTTGATGTTTGAATATTCAACAAGTAGTAGGAATTAGTATATCGATTATACATTTTAAATGGAGCATAGGGCTGTAAAACATTTTCTTAGCTGCAACATCTGTTGAGTAATTTGGTCCTTCTGAGCAAATTAGTTTCCATTGCTTTCTAGGATCTTTATTTGGAACATTTATTTTTAATACCACACTCAGTGTAAATTGAAACATATTTTCATTTTCTGATTGTAGAAGTCAAATAATACATTTCCATAATTATGCAGTTCAAATATACTGGAAAATTTCCCAGTGTTTACCTCTGTTATTTAAGCTAGATGAACACTGAATCTTAATTGATACCAGTACTTGGTAGTAATGGCTAATATTAGGTACTGCTATCCCACTTCTGTATGGCATTAAAAGTAAGTTGAAAAACCTTAGAATTTGAAATAAAATGGTTAATAAGTTATTATTAAAAATCATTTTAGCTTGTGTAAGTATTAGACGACGGTTAAAAGAAAAAGGAAAGTAATCCACAGAAATAAGTTAATTTAGTGTTTCAATTCTCCTAAGCAGTGAAAAAGATTCTAAGAACCATTTTAAAAAATTTTGCTGTATATTTTATAGGCTATTGAAAATATATAAAACTAATTTCTGCTTGGTTTATTTGCCATTTAAAAGGTGCATTTGGAGTTGTAAAAAATGCAGTCTAAAAAACTGCACATACACATAGCATCCCTGACTGTTGCAAGACTCTGTGGCTTGAATCCAAAGGGGTTCAAAGCAGAACTTTGCTTGCCTATTAGAGCTTTACTATTACTTCTTACTGGAGTTTCCTAACACTACCACCCCAAGCTGTTCTTGAAGGTCTAGATTCCTTGGAACAGCATGAGATGTGGGTGGGGAATAATTAGAAATGGGTGTGGAAGGTTTTTATTCATCTGTTTGTTGCATTTTTGTACCACCCAATACCAGATGCTTTCTGGGTGGTTCACAACAATTTAAAAACATAAAATACAGCATAGACATTTAAATAGTTAAAACTAGAGTATAGAATGGAAGTAAAAATTAAAATAATTAAAGTAAAATATAGGATTTAAAACAGACTGAAACCAAAATTCTTGGGGAAATTCCTGTGAAAATAAGGTTTTTACTTGGCTCTAGAAAAACTCCTTCATACATGTCTGGAGAGGTGCCCTGGCAAGTTCATTCTGTAGTCAGGGTGCTACAACAGAAAAGGTCCACTTCTTAGTAGCTGCAAACCTGACTTCCTTTGTCAGGAGCTAGCCACAAAATAACCATTGAGGATGGTGTTAGGGTTTGTGCAGGTATTTATGGGAGGAGATGATCCTTCACAATGACCTGGACTTGAGCAGTTCAAGCCTTTGAATATTAATGGCAGCACTTTGAAGTAGACCTGGTCATAGAGTCATTGGCAGTTCATATGGCCAAGTATTGGCCCTAATATGATCACGCTGGTTAGTTCCTGTTAGTTAGCTTGCTGCCCTGTTTTGGCCTAACTGAATTTTCCAAACCATTTTCAAAGGCAGACCCATGTATAACACATTCCAGTAATTCAACTGAGAGGTTATTAAATAAGTGCAGTTAGACTATCCCTGTCTAGATGAGGACATAGTATATCAGTTTAAGCTGATATAATTGATTGAATATCCCTCATCTGAGCAGGTGAACCATTCTCTAGCAGTATTTCCATCTTGTTTGACTTGTGCCTCAATTTATTCAGGAGCCCTCCTTGAAGGAGATTAGGAGGGTGGCTACCTAGAGAAGGGCCTTCTCTGCAGTGGCACCCTGGTTATGGAATACACTCCCCAGAGAGGTTTTCCTGGTGCTGACACTTTATTCCTTTTTATTTTCACATTATTTTAAGGTTTGAGTCTGATTTTAATGTGGGGTTTTATTGTATAGAAAATCAATTTGGATGCTATTTGTTTTATTATAAGACCATCCCGAGACCTCAGTAGCGGAAGTATGTAAAAGTGTTAAATAAGTAAATAAATAAAATAAAATATTGGCCCAGATTCATTCTAGTACTGGGCACAGTTAATGATTCAGAGCAGCCATTGACTCAGCTGGATTTGATGAAAAGGAAAGACAGAACTGGCTATCATCTGCATTTTGATGACATTTCACCTCACACCTCTGGACAACCTCCCAAGTGGTTTGATGTAGAGGCTAAATAGCATAAGAGAGTAAGCTGAGCCCTGTGGAAAATTTCTAAGGCACAGAGCAATAATCCCCCAGCACCACCTTCTGGAATCAGCTATCCAAGGAGGAGCAGAGCTAATGCAATACAGTGCCTCCAACTCCTAACCCAAGAGCCTATCCAGAAGGATACCATGGTTGTTGGTATTGCAGTCATTTGAAAGGTCCATGAGAATCAATACAGCCTCATTCCCACATCTCTTCCCTAGCAAAGGACATCCAACAGGGCAAGTGAGTCAGTTTCTGTTCTAAATCAGACGTGAGGCCCAATTGAATGGATCTAGAAAATTGGCTAGATCCATTCAATTGGGCCTACCCAGATCTAGGGGTAGCTACTCAAATCCTCATCCTTTCACTTTACTGATGTTAAAAGAAAGAACACATGCAACTATTATTTAAGATTAAAAGACTGAGTTCCAGATACTATTACAAGCATAGCTATATTGTGTTTTTCCAATAGGAAAGGATGCGTAATGTAGCAGGATTGTTCCCATGTTCATGCAAAGTTATGGAAAATCTGCACTTTATTTATTGTTATATTTATATCCTGATTTTTATGTCCAAAGGACCCAAGGTGACTTGCATGTTCCTTCTCCATGTTACCCTCATAGCAATCTTGTGAGGTAGGTTAGGCTGAAAGTAATTGACTAGCCAAAGGCAATCAGTGAGCATCATGACTGACTGGGGATCAGACTCTAGATTTCCTATGTCTATGACTATACTGACTCTTGTTATTTAATGTGTTTAATCTGTCCTAATTTTGCTTTCATATAGCACACTGTATTTGGAAAACACATTACATTTTCCAGAACTTTATACTCTTTATGTTCAAATATACATTACCTAATTAGAGAAGGTATTTTTGAAGATTTGAAAAAATCATCTGTTAAAAGCAGTCACTAATTTTTGTTTTGCTTTGCAGGATGTTTGATGTTGGGGGCCAAAGATCAGAACGGAAAAAATGGATTCACTGCTTTGAGGGTGTTACAGCCATAATCTTTTGTGTGGCACTTAGTGATTATGACTTGGTTCTTGCTGAAGATGAGGAAATGGCAAGTAAATTTACTTTGAAAACAAATAACATCAGGTAGTAGCAGAGACCTGAGCTTTTAAATAACGTAGCCCCTAATCCACTGTTTCCTAATTGTTTCATTGTACTTTTATATGATTTGAAGCTTGAAAGGTAATTACATCCTAGTTAAAATACTTTAACTTATCTAATACCATTTGGATAAGTTAAAGTATTTCATAATCATAATAATGGAATAAAAGATACATTGAAAATTATGTCTTCCTGCATAAACAGACTTGGAATTGTGTCCATGACTTCATACTTTTATCTTTGTTAAACTCTTCAGAGTTACTAAAACTCTTAAGAATACAGTAAAGGAAAGATTCAGATAGTAAGGTAAGGATCTTGTTTTTTCTTCTGCCTGATAATTTCCATTCTTCTTTCTCTTCTGCAACACTGTCTCAAAAATTGGGGCAGTATCCAATACATAATTAGCATCAGTAGACTTGCCAAATGATGAACAGATTGTGAGTAATAATTAAAAATTGATTTGTCTAAAATAGTTATGCAGTTTCATGATGAATTTATGTAATTAAATCATAGGATGAATTTACAGAAAATGAAGTTTATTTATGGGAGAACAATCCTAGTACCCCTTAGTACTGTCCAGCTTCAGTCTCAGAGACAGCACTCTGATCTCAGAGTGATGAATTGGAGTTCCATCCCATCTTCCCCTGCCCCAACACAGCTGGCATGGAAGTAACTGCACCAGCTGGTCTCAAGAGCAGGGAAACCGCAGAAAGATTCTAAAGGGAGCATTTTGGGCTTAGGGAGAGGAGAAGACTAGACTGAGCAAGATACAGGGTATCCTGCAACAACTCCAGCTTGATAGACAAAAAGACTGTCTAGTGAAAATTCAGAGGATTAAGACAAAGACTAACTTGGCTGCTTGTCCTACTCTGAAGTGGATAAGCTTTTGAGTTGTGCCCGTATTTGCTTTTCAGGGAACATGTGTGCTAATGCTTTATTTCTTGCTTTTAGCTAACTTGCATCCAACTCAAAGTATCAATCCCTTTTAAATGTAATCACAGGGTTTTGTTAAGTATGATGCTGAAGGACAAACTGGATACTTATAACTACAAACACGTTGTTTGTCTGTTATGAACGAACATTTGGTTTCCAAATTCTTGCTTTGACGTTTTTCCTGCCTTTACATGTTCTGATGCCCTTTTTCATTTCCTACAAACTGTAGTTTGCCATGTCATCCAAATCTAGCAAGCTATGATTACTGAAAAATGTAGTCTGTGCAAACCAGAATTGGTAGTCATGACTCGAATTAGATCTGTAAATTCTCTGGAGACACACTATAGTCTGGTTCAGATATAAACTAATTTTGTAGACATGAACTATTTCTTTCTTCCCTTCCCTTCTCTTCTGTAAATGGTTTCAGAGGACATTTCTTTGTTTGCTAAATTAGTTTCCAGTGACATCCAAAACAGAAAATCATTAGATTGCCTACAAAGCAAGATTGCAAGTAATGGTTAAACTTTTTTTCCCTAGTTCTGTCATGATTAGAATCAGGCTAGTAAATAGCTTCTCAAGTCTAGCATGTTGAAAGAGGAGGAGGATATTACCTGTTCACAGCCCAACAACTAGAGTTTGGATAATCAGTGTTGCATTTTACTGATTTACAGAAACCATAGTTTGCCTAATTAGGACATTAGTGCCAACTAGATTTTGTGGTGGGAGATTTGAGCATAGAGGCTGAAGCTTATTCACAATAGCAGAAACATGGTTTTTATTGAACTAGTAGTATATTACTGACCTTCTCAATGGGTGACACACAAGTTAAAGGAATACTAAATGATGGTAAGGAGAAGTTGAATGAATCATGTTTTTTCCCACTTCCTACCAGTCACTGGAACCTGGAGTCATTCAATGAATTTAATAGTGGGAGATTTGGGACAGATTAAAAGAAGTACTTTTTCAGATGTTGTATCACTAAACTGTGGAATTTGCTACTACAAGATGCAATGATGGCTACCAAACTGGATGACTTTCAAATGCATTTAGAAAAATTGATGGAGAATAGAGCTATCAATGACAATTAATCATGGTGGCTATATACTATAAGCTTTTCTGTGCCACTTTCAGGAAAACACATGCAAGAGGGTGCTAGTGCACTCAAGTCTGGTAGGCCTCCTAGTCACAACTGGTTGGCTACTCTATGAATACAGAATACAGATAGACCCTTGATCTGATCCAGCATCAGTCACCTTTTGTTATTATCTAGACCATTATGCGATTAAAGGTGCAATCCTATGCATATTTAGGCAGAAAATTCCCAGTATTCCCTATAACATATAGAAAATTCCTTTAATTTTCCTTTAATTCCCAATATTTCATAGAATGACAGTGACACCATTGATCAATTCCCTGTGTGTGTATGATGGTAGCATGAGCAGGGGCCACCTCATGGGGTTCTCCTATGTTGTATAGATATTCCAAAGCTACTGTAATGCTTCAGGAGGCATACATACTGTATTAGTTCTTACCTCACCAAGGTCTCCTGTATTTGCTTGAAGCTATTATATTAATTGGTTTTATTTCTTCCTATACCTTCCAATACTCAAAGCTCTCTGGGTGTTCATAATTATTAAAACTATAAAATATAACACAAAATGTACTTGAAAGTTTAAAATTAGAGTGCACAGTAGCAGTAGTAAAACCCAATGTAGGGTCTAGCAGCTGTGGAATGATAAAAATACACTAAAGGAACAGAAGCAACAGAAACTGAAAGACTAAGAGTCCGGGAGAAATAAGAAGGTCTCAACCTAGCACCAGAAAGAGAACATCATAGGTGCCATTTAGGGTCTCTGGGTAGCTCATTCCACAGCCAGAGTGCCACAGCAGAAAAAAGACCTCTTCTTAGTAGCTACTCACAACATTTTCTTTGGCAGGAGCTCCTGGTGAAAGACAGTGGTAGAGGTGCGATAGATATATATGCGGCCAGATGCTTCTTCAGCTGAATTTGTCTGCAAGCTGTTTAGGGTTTTGAATTTTAATACCAGCACTTTGAATCAGGCCCAGACATAGCCAGCACAGATAGGAAAGTATTGGCCTAATAGCATGCTAGCCAGTCCTTGTTAACCTTGCTATCCTGTTCCGGACAATGTAAAACATTACAGTAAACTATCTGAGAGCTGATGAAATGTTCTGTTTCCACATTTCTGAGATCATTGCCAAACCTAGTCAAAAGTTAGCTTACTGATTTTGTATATTTGGAAAAGTGTTTCCAAAATTTGGAAATAGCTTTCCTAGATTGATTCCTACTGAAAGCTAATTAGTGACAAAACAAGCAACTTTCCAATGATGATTTTTTAAATAATGAGTATAATAAAATAAAGATTATGGGACTCCACCCATTGAAAGTTAAACACTTTCAAATTTCCATATAAATGGCATTTCAAAGTACTTAATTTTGGATGGCTAGAGCTCATTGTCTGAAACGAGATCTGTTGAGCAAAAGTAAATTCTCTTTATCATTTGACCCTTTGGTTTTTAGAAGCTAAATAACTGAAGAAATGTCCTAGTGATCCTGGTATAAAAAGTCATTTGGGTTTTTAGGTTCTTTGGTATTGCTAGAGAAAGGAAAAGAGAGAAGGCCAAACTGATATATCATCTGTTTCTTTCAAATGCAGAATAGGATGCATGAAAGCATGAAATTATTTGACAGCATCTGCAACAATAAGTGGTTTACAGACACTTCTATTATTCTCTTCTTAAATAAGAAAGATCTCTTTGAAGAAAAAATCAAAAGGAGTCCTCTTACTATTTGTTACCCTGAATATCCAGGTATTTATCTTGTTATGAAACAAAAGTGGGGTGGGGGTGGAGGGAGAATGTCTTAATTTGAAACCTCTGAGTGTAATGGCAGAAAAAAATGTTGTAAATAGTAATAGATATCTGGTAAAATTCATATGGTATTGTAAAATATATGTAAATACAATCTCAGTGGTATGCATTGCTCAACTCACAGTTTGTACAAACCCTTTAAATAAACCATTGTGTTATTTTAATAATAGGCATTGCTTTGCTATCAGAGTAAATGAGATTATTTACATTCTGTATAATCTATGTATGGTTGTAATTTGATTTCTGGGCACGCCTGAACTCAGTGTATAGAAAGCTTTAGGATTACTATTTACTTCTAATGAGCCAAATCTGGTATCTTTTATATTCTTGATTTGTTTAATTTATTAGCTTATTTTGATTGGGTCAGCAAAAAGGTTCTAGAATGGCTTACATGTAATAAATAAAACCAAGTAAGGTTACACTCTAAAAAGGCATGACACAAAAAGAGAAAGGGTTTAGGAGGTAGAAGAAGAAAAGCAAGTAGTCATTCAGTAAAGCTGGTAGAATGGCTCTGCTTCTCACCTCATCTTTTCTACGGACTGCTAAAATTACTGTTGGTGGTGACAACAGAGAAAGGAGCCAGGTAGAGGTGATCTTTCAGCTGGGTTGATGGGATGGTCAAGGCACTGTACAACAAAACATCAGCCCTGTAGTGGGTACTTTGCCCAGGCAGACTTGACTGCAGGGGGAAGCCATCTGGCCTTTGCTACTGCATTGTCTTCTCTGTCCGGGAAAACAAGGCACAAGTGAAGCTTCCTCCCCGAACCATTACACCAATGGGAAGGGCTTCAGCCCATGCTTTGGCCAGAGTTCACCCGTGATGCCATCCGTGGGGCCTGTGCCCTAGGATCGTCTGCCTTGGTCACAGTCTGGTCCTCTGACTAGATGTATCTTCCTACTCTCTACTACACCAAAAAAGTGTACGGCAAATAAAATCTAAGAATTAAATGGAAATGGAAGTGTATTGTGTGCAAAATACTCAGTCATTCACAACTGGATTTGGTAATGACAGTGATTTTAGCATGAATTAGCTGAATTAATGCCCATAGTGAGACAAGAAACCATCATCCCAGTTCAGAATTCACACAGACACCTGGCTCCTGAGAATAGGTCTTCATGCATCTGAAGTGGAATCTAGTCTATAAAAGCTTGTGTCATGATGTGATTGGCAATCATTCAAGTGGCATGGATTCCTTTGTTGTGTTTTGCTGCAACTTACTAAGAGGTTTTCTTCTCTGAATTTTTTAGTATGGTATGAATTAGAATTGGTTGAGATTGTATATTCAATAACAATAAAATTGATAGTATAAATTATCCATACACTGGAAAGAGTAAATCTCTTTTTCCTCCACTCGCCTAGGCTCATGTTCAGGAGAAGCTGGTAACTCCTGCATCACTGGGGCTCCTTATCCATTGCAGCCTTTATTTTGAGCTTCATTGGAGGTATCCATGGTGCACCATGGTGGTAAACCCATCTTGGGGACAGAGTCCATCCTATCTTGGGGACAGAGTAAATAACTCCTATAAAGCTGAAAATGGTGCAGTAGATGAGGGGCCCATCTAATACAGAAATCACCTGCTTCGTGTGAGTATATTCTAGCTTCAGAACATCATGGAAAACTTATGAACAAATTCATAAGAACGCATGACTCTGATTTATCAGTTAGCTACCTATTACAAAAGAGTAAAAGTGCAGCCATTAACAACACCATTAACAAGACAGCATTATTTAAAATGTAGATTCTAACTGAGGGCAGCTTAAACAATTCTTAAAACCTTGAATAGGTTGGAAGAAATTAGCAAGATATGTATTTTCTAGAGCTTTAAATGTGTGTATCTTATGTTTTTAAAGGTTCCAATACATATGAAGAGGCAGCCGCATATATTCAGTGTCAGTTTGAAGATCTGAACAAGAGAAAAGACACAAAAGAAATTTATACTCATTTCACTTGTGCCACCGATACGAAGAATGTGCAGTTTGTTTTTGATGCTGTAACCGATGTTATCATAAAAAATAACCTGAAAGACTGTGGTCTATTCTAAACATTTATATCAAACTGTAATTCATCTTTTTTCCATTAATCAAATGAGTCATAGTGTTTGTTTTTTTTAAGACCATGAATATGTTTATTGTGTATACTGACTTTTCTGGTATTTGGTTAGGTTGAAGGATCAGTTTAAAAAATTCAGATCTCCTGGTTTACATAGTAAAGGATGCAAACCAATGACCAGACCAGTTCAGTAATTGCTTCTTTAAACAATTTTATTTATGTTTTTTGTATAGATTTAAGTAATGTTGAGCAACAATCAAAACAACTTGATTGTGTGTTTAGTTGTGACTGTATCTGTTTTGTTTCTATAAGCATTGAACAAAGTATTTTAATAACTTGATGCATCCTGTAGAGTTTCCATGTTTTAAAGGCTGCTTTTTCCTATAGGAAAAATATTTGCCTTTTTAATTTTTCATTATTCAAATGGCTTCTTTAAAATGTTTCAATATTATGCATGTTGCCTTAATTTTTTTCTTAGATTTTATTTATAGAATTCTCATATAGTAAGCTTTTTATTACATAAAGAATTCTTAACACTTGCTCAGGATTAAATAGAAAAAGCCCCAGCATTCTTTCCAGTTTCTGTTTTGTGTTACTAAAATGGTAAGAGAATCCATTTTGAATGTTCAAAATTACAGTAAACAAACCAGTCTTACATATTTTATTCTATGCCAACTTATTAAGAGTTAGAAAGTGGAAGAAAGCTATGGCTGTGATTCAGTGGGTAGAAGTGATATATATATGAGAAAGTGCATCCTTCTTCCATAACTAAGAGCCTAACACTGAAAGCCCAGTTCATGCATGTCTACCTAAATTATGGCCCACTTTATAGCTATTTAATATTTATTTGAGGTGTTATTTTAGCTTGTAAGTATCTCTGGTGTGACATGCAAAGGGAAAAGTCTTGGAATTGAAACAAAGGAGGTGAGGGAAGGAAGACTGGGAATTTCAGACTACTTGCAGTTTTACCTCTGTAAATTTTTTGTGTTTTCTTAGGGGATTGGCCCAAACATTTTTACTTTTGTTTCATTAAACATTATTTCTGCCTTTTAAATATGAAGAATTCTTACTCAGATCAACAGACATAATATCCCTTGTAATCAAAATACATTTGCAAATCAGGGTTTTTGGGACACCCTTTAGAATGGATTTGTCCACAGTGTAGTGGCTAGAATCCAAAAAGTGTACAGCTAAAGCACTTCCACCCCCACCTCTCATATGGGGAGAACAGGTAGATGCGGAAGTGGTAAATTTTCTCCTTTAATAGTAGGTTCCTTCTTGGGAGGTGTTGTTCAAGAGATCCCCTGGCCTTCTGAGTCATGTTAGACAGGCATAAGATGTTGCTGCTACAAATAAACATTGCACACAGAGCTTTGGATCCTGGCCTGTGTTGCTTCAGTTGAAGGTTTCTCATCAATACTTTTATTCCTGCTCCTGAAGAATCAAACCACTTACTTTGCAGTGGCTTGCCTCTCCAAGAAAGAACTGCTGTGGGGGGGGGGGGGACCCAACTACTGGTATGTAAATCAGTGGTTACTGATTACCACTTCAAATTGCAGCTCTGTTTTGCATTACTGTATGGTAGTGCCAATAAAGATTTAAAAATTACGTATGAACATGAAATAAGAACTTTAGTTTTTCCGATCATTCTATCAACTAAAATATGAACAACCAAATTTTCAAATACTACTTTAGGTTGGTAGGATACAGCACTTCCTAGAGTGCATGTATTACCAGTCTTTGAGTTGCCTTTTCCAGAGGAAAGAAAAATCCTTGGAACATAGTGTTCACTGTTACATATGGGCAAAATGTTTCCAAACAGAACAAGGTCCCAAGTACTTCTCAGTCTAAATTGCTACATTGTCATGAACTTCCTACTCTAGCCATGTTCCAATATTCTAAGAAATTATCAGTATTAATCTCATTTACATCCTCCTCATAGGAAATTCAGGGCAGTGTACATGTGCTTTTCTAAGGAAAATAATGACAAGTGCAGACTGGTGGAACAAGTCTAAATTGTCTCCATTTAAAGTATTAGTACCAGAAAATAGTTTGTGTATTCTGGAACACTTAGAGTTGTGCATATAAGGTTCATATTATTCTGTAAACTGAAGTATTTGGTAGTAATTGTATCAAATCCTTAAAATTAAATTTTGTACATTACTGCAGTTTTTTTAAGCAAGAAAATTAAACTAAAAGAAGATTTCAATCTTAAGTTATTGTGCCTTGTCTGAAAGAAATATTTTTTCATTAAAATCAACTGATGGAATGCCTTCTGTAACCATAAGTGAAGTGCAAACAAAAATAAAGTTTGAGTAAATTCAAACACTTATGTGGAAATACAAATACATCTTTGTGGCAATTGTTTAATGGGTTCTAAAACATTTTCCTTTTTACTATCCTCTTGTCCCCTGCATAAAACCTAAGACTTAAAGTACTTTTCATAAACCTTAACTCAGTTATTTACACAAGTAAGTAGCACTGCTAGAAAGAACAGCAATCAATGTGTTAGATGCAACCCAGCTACCTTGCCTTAAAACTTGCGCTATTTTTTTTTTTTTTTTTTACATTGTGTCTTACCAGACTTGAAGCCCTGTACACAGGGGATGAAGAATCAATCACAGAGGAGGAAATGGTGCTGAAATAGGAAAGTGAACACTGGACACACTTAAAAGACTAATGTTTAATTCGGCCAGGGAGACACACCTTACACTAGTTGCATGTGTTTGATGCAGCATTGGTTCTGTGTGGAAAAACATTTCTCAGCCACAGTGAGACGTATATCCATTGCATGACTCTGCCATAATTGGTTATGCAGAATAGTTGATGCAGGTTAAATATGAAAAAGCAACTCTTTGAAGCCACTTTAAAAGAAAAACTATGATAGACATAAATGCCAGCTCTTAAAGCAGCCATTTGGTGATGGTTCATGTAGACCAATGAAATATTTAACAGTGATCCAGTGAAAGGGCACTCAAGGATATTGCCTATAGAGGATACCAAAACCACAACTATACTAACCACAATTTGAGTTGTATTGGTTCTAGTGAAGTCTAGTTTTGTGGGCATTCAACTATCACAAGCCAGGCTTATTTTCAGTTACTCGAATTAGTGAATGTTGTAATATTTATGCTACGTACATGACTTTAATATTTTAAGTTGAAACCGTTTGTTTTCGTAGTGTTCAAGTCTATAGATGAAAGTTTATGCATTCAAAGTACAATCCTACATGTGTCTAAAGGCAAAGGTTATTGCGCACATGCATGCTAATTGTGTCTGACTCTGGGGTCGGTGCTCATCTGCATTTGCTGGAGAACCAGTGTTGTCTGAAAACTCTTCCGTGGTCGTGGCCAGCATGACTAAACGCTGAAGCACACGGAATGCTATTACCTTTCTCACCAAAGTGCTGCCTATTTATCCAGTCGCATTTGTATGCTTTTGAATTGCTAGCTAGGCAAGCTGGGACAAAGAAGCAGGTACCCACCCCATCGCGTGCATTCAAACTGCCAACTTTCCGATGAACTTTCCAGCAGCTCAACAGTTTAACCTGCTGCGCCACCCATGCTCTACATGTGTCTATACTGAAGTAATTCACACTGATCTCAATGGGGGAATTAGTTGCAAAGGGGGCACAGGATTAAAGCCATAGTTAACTTTAATACAAAGAACTCGTAAAAATAATTATAGTGTTGGCATTCTCTCCAAAATCTCAGCTCGGGTGGAAGTCTTTACTATTAGACCTGATGAAGCCAAGGGTTCAACCAAGAGCTTCCATGTGCAAAGAAGGTGCTTTCACACTCCGCTGAGCTCAGGTCCCTCCAACTTCAAAATTGGAGAATAAAGTCTGTCACTTGAATTTGACTTGAGACTTCCTTTTGCTATGGTCAGGGGCCTGCTCCAAATCTTCAGGGACCTGAAAAACCTCTTCATAACCAGGATCTAGGAATATTTACTGTGATTTGGTCACCACAGAAATATTAAGCCTTGACCTCAATTTATTTTTATCTCTGCCTCATTTTATAAATAGCCTTTCAGAAACATTACCTTGATTGGACTGAGCTTTATCCAGGTGTGCTTGATTTGACAATTGCAATTGTTTAGAAATGCTCTTTGATAATGAAGAGCGGTTGGATCAATTCGGGAGAGAGAAAGAGTGTGAAAGTGAACACTGTTTGCTTACTGAGATGCCTGCTGGTAAAGACACTCAAGGTTGTTTCTATAAATAGGACATTTATTTTCCTGTGTGACTGTGTGTACACAGTCTGAAAAAGAAAAGTATGGCATGCAACAGGAAGTTTTTTCTTTGGTACACTCACAGGGAATTTGCAGGGATGTCAGAACCGTAAAACATTTGGTTGAGGACACAGAATCTGAGCTATTTATTTTCCTTGTTAAATCAGACACAAAACCAGAATCGGATGAAGCACCAAGCAGGTCTCTGCTTTTAATCTTTTAATGCATTTAGTGTCGAAAGCAAACCGAAAGAGCAATCTCATGGTCTCTGGGAGAACATTGCAGGGAACGTAAGATTGTATGGAGTCCTCAACCCAAGACCTTAGATCAGGGGTCCTCAAACTTTTCCACCAGGGGTCCAGTTGAAAGCTGCCGGTGCTGGGCGCAGGCCAGAATGGTGGTGCCGGCGATGCGCATAGGCTGGGGAGGAGGCAGCGCATGTGGGCATGCACACTGAGGCGGGGCAGGGCGCACGGCAAAGCAAGGTGCGGCGAGGCGTGGGTGGGTGGGTGGGCGAGTGTGGCGAGGGGACGCGAGGTGCAGGCGGAGGCGGGCATGCACCACGAGGCGAGCACACGAGGCAGCAGCTTGCTCGCTTGGAGATCGTTTTCTCCGAGCGAGCAAAACGCTGCCTCCTCATGCGCCGGGTGAGGTGGGCGGCAGCAGGTGTGAGCATGGGCACGCATGTGGTGGGCCCAAATGGGCATGGCGGGCTGGATAAATGGGCATGGCAGACCGTAGTTTGAGGACCCATGCCTTAGATGCTGCTGTGTCTTTGGGAGGAAGAAAGACATGTTGGCTGCCTCCCAAGGTAAAAATGTAGCCTAGAATGAAGAGACATGGGGGAGGGTGTTCCATTGGTGGGCCAGGGAAAGGAGAGGAGAGGCCAGAATAAGAAAAATCCAATGGCATCATTAGATAGGCTCAGAGGCCCACTCACAGCAAAATGCATGAAAGGAGGGCAGAGTGACACAAATCACCTGTCACCCCTCCTGCCCTGCCAGCAGCAACCTAGCAGGGTACTGGACACTTGAAAGCATTCAAGATAGGAGTCTTCTTCAAAAGGAACAGATGGCTGTTTCAACAAGCTTGTTTTGATCCGGTAGGGAGACCGATGCATTGTTAGCATGCTTCCATTTGTGCATCACTTGGGACATCTTTCTAAGCATGCAAGTGACAATGCAGTCTATCTGCTCTATATTCCCTCTAAAACTGAATGCAATGTTCCTCACCTTGTTTGACATGAAACTTCAGTTAGATTGGGATGAATGATCATATCCAGAGACCTCCTTCTGAAACTTGAATCTAGCCCATTTAAAGATTTCAGAAAAGCAGGGATAGACATATCCCACTTTGTGTTCATAAAAACTTTGTGAGGTAGGCTAGGATGTGAAATACTGACTGGGCCAAGCTTACCAAAGGGGTTCATGACTAATGAAGCAATGGGGAGGAGGGGATCTGTAGTCCTCCAGATGTCCTGCCTATAACTCTCAAGAGCTCTAGCCAGCTGTCAGTGGTGAAGGATCATGGGGGCTGTAGGCCAAAAGGCTCCCACATTGGTCACTCCTGAAGAAGCCCGAATCCTGCATCTACTTCAGACTGACTTCTATATATCTTGCTAAATTTGTTTCTTTCCACTGCAGACCTTTGTCCCAAATCACAAATTGTTTTCGAAAGATACTCGGTTTTGAAAGGGATTTATCATGTGGTTTAAAAGGTATTGGGAAAGCAGCTTGAGAAACATGGATCCTGGGACTCATTAAGGACATAGAACATGTTGCATCAGTTCTCTTGATCCTGGCTGATAGCAGCATTTAGTTTCAAATAGAAATACACTATTTTTCCTCCATTTGGAACTGGCTAAGGGTAGCACATGGAATCATAGGGTTGGAATGAAAAATGGCAAAGGACAACTAGTCCAAAGCCCTTCTGATGACAGAAAACCAGTGCTTGAACTTAGACACCTAATGAAGAAATGTCCACTGCCTTCTAAGGAACTCTATTCCCTAGTTCATTGACTGTACCACCAGGAAGTTCTTCCTAGCATTAGTTGAAATTCCTTTTTCTTGTAATTCTACTGGCAGGTGGGTTAAATTGGTGAGTTGATCATACAGAGACAGGTAACCTCTGAGGTATATATGGCATAGGCTGTCAAGGGCTTTAAAGGACAAAGCCAACACAAGTGCATTAATGTGAATAAATACGCTGTCAAAGTAAATGTGGCTCAGAGCAGATGAAAAATGTATTGCTTAACTGAGGCTTCCATCCAAAGAGTAACCCTCAAGCCCTTCCTCTTGTTGCTTGGCCTCCTGTAATTTCTGCATTAAGGGTGCATGCAATGTTGTTCTTCATTTACATGTTGTGTTGCAATGAATTCCCATACATGCAAGGGCATCCCATATCACTTGTATGGAAGGAACATAGAATATTACAGAATATCATGGAATGGAATGGGATACAAAGATGGAAGGGTCATTTATGTTCCTGGGCGCACATACATCCAGGTTCTGCTTCTTATGCAGACAAATCTATGACCTTTGAAGTGAATGGGAGGCACCTCTTGGGGGTAGAAGGTGCATGGAAATTCTAGATTAAAGTTACTGAGAGAGATCATAGCAACGGAGAGATCAAGTGGAATGGTTGTGTGTGTACATGCACGTGTGCAGCATTGGGTTAAGCATTTCATACAATGCTTCCCATTAAAAAGGGGAAATGGTCATTTCCTAGTTGCATTTCTCTCATACCACAACTTCATTCACAGGATCGTTGTTTTAATGAGGATGCAACGATCGGTAGCGCTTCCTGCACTGAAAGCTGTAGTAATGCCTGGGTCTATAATTCTGACCTTTTGTATTGCTCTGTAATATGATCAAGAACAGAGCCACAACCCCTCAGGGAACAGACAGAATGCAATTCCAGGCAGACCCAGCTTACTGAAAAGGTCACTATCATTTCTTGAGCCTTTTGCAAAATGCATTAGAACAAAGCTCAGCACCCGTCCTTCTGTCTAGAGAGACACCAGTGCTGAACAATTGATTATTGAGTGCTGGAGAGCTCTGGCAGCAGAACTGTCAAAGCCTGACCTTTGAGAAGATGTGCTGTGTACTAGTTGC